TCATGTGGAGTTCAAAATCAGTAAGTTTTCTTTATATTTTGGCTATGTTTTATCTTTTGTGATTTTGTTTAGTTTAGTTTTTGTGTTTTTTTTAGTTAATCTAGGATTTGGTTCTTGTTCCCTAAATCTCATTTGTAACTGATAAGTTTAATTAGATTCGAGTTGTCAGTTCGTCCTTTCAGTGTTCTTAGAATTTTGTTTGATTCATATTTTGTGTGTTTGGTTTTGATTCATGATCCTTTGGGTTGTTGATTAGTGGTCGACTGTTAAAATTGCCAAAAGTAATCGTTATTTCTGCTTTTCAGTAGTTGATTCAAGCTATATCTTAGGTTTGTTTGGATTTGTGACCTGATTATAATTGAAAGTCGTCTGTTTCATTGTAGAATCAGTTTGTTAGTAGTTCATCAGATTTGTATCTGTTATTTTACTTGCTTTAGATCCGTTTGAGAGCATTAGTTAGAGCATGTTTCTGTTTGGTAATATCTGTAGATATTCAGTACTTTAAGGGGGGAATAGAATGACTAGAAACTTAAGGGGTCTTAAGGGAAGGTTCAAAGAGTGAATAACAGTTTACTTAAGGGTAAAATAGGGAATAGAGCCCAAGGAATTTGTTCATAATTGCATAAGAAACCCTTAGAAGGTTCTAGCAAGGGCTGTTTGTTTAATATTGTGGATGATAACTTGTTAAAGAAGTCACAAAGTGAGGGACCAAAAAGAAAAAAAAATCTGAAAAAGCCCTAGGCTCTGCCTATAAAAAGGCACGCTTGGTGCCTTCATTGGAAAGTTTGGAGCCTCTAAAAATTCCCCCCAAAAGGTGTTCAACAAGTTTCAACCTGAAACTTGAATTTCAAATTCAAAAATCTTCAAAAACCAAAAAACAAACCAACAAAAACAACAGAAAATTCCAAAAAAAAAGTACTGTTGCGTTGAGTTTTCATAGATCAATTGCAAGTTTTAGCTACTGTTCTGAATTTTAGCTTAGTTCAAAGAGGAAAATGGCTTAAATGTTCCTTGTGTACTGATTGCTGAAACTTCAGAGGTTTATTGGGTTTGACTTCAAGTGGGTTTGGGTTCAATCAAGTTATTTTTGGTCATTTTTTGGTGCTGTTCTTCTATAATTCATCCCTGGGTATCTGTGATATTTTTTTGGGTTTGAAACTGCTTCTGTGTCTGCTGGTTGCAACTGCTGTTTGTTGACTGCCATTACTAATTCCTTCCTCCTTTATTCTGATTCGATTCCAGGTACACTTCTATGACTCAAGTGATATGGAAGTCTGAATCAACATGTATGAACCATTTGTAGATCAAATGATGAAGAGAAATACTTGTTGTTTCACTTGGATTTTCCTTGTAGTCATCACTAGTTTTTGATACTTAGTTGCACAATTCATTTTGAACGAGTACTCTCTGGAATTAATTAAGACTATTTGTGTAATTAGGACTGCTGGACCTCGGATTATTCAGTAGCTTTAAATATAGTTTCATTTTGCGTTAGTTTAATTTTAGTATTAGAGATAGCATGAATTTGAAACTGTTTCTAGGATCATAGATCTTCACCTTGTGATTGAATTGGACGTTATTGTTTCTAGGGTCGTAATAGTCTATCATCTGTTTGTGATTTGGACAATCAGTAATCACATCTTATGCATAATCTAGCTTTATTTTAGATATCAAATGGTCCCTGAGTTTAACTTGTTGCAGAATCAGTTGCTCAATGCACAAATATCTGATTGATCATCTAATATCCCTCGTTATTTAGCTTATTGATTCTAATTCGTATGGTATGATCTGTGTTTCTTTGTGATTGTTCGGGGTTTAGTTCATGAAGTGGAACCCCATTGAAATTGGACATTGAGATGGCCTTGAGATTTGTGGTCTCAAGGTATAGCTATCCAAATAATTGTTGGGGGGCAGTCACAAGCCCAAAAATACTGTGGGTCAATCACAAGCCCAAATGCTAAATAACTCATGTTAACAGGGCTGACCCAATTCCCTTTTCCATGGACTGCTTTGAAGCCACTTTGCTAAAGACTACCCCTGGGCTGTTTCCGATAATATTCATTTAGTAATACTAATTAACTAAGTTCTTAGAGATCATCCTAATAGAAAATAATAGTTTCTCTTTTAAGATGGCCTTTAAAATAAATGAGGTGCACCGAGCCCAAATAAAATCACAAATTGTGTGGCCCTCACTTTAATTGGTTTTAACTCAACCTTAGAATTCGGGACGCGCCATTTAGCGAATTTCATGGCCTCCCACAAAGTTAATAATACGCTAGTTGCTTTAGGCCCGATATTTAATAATATTACCTTCCTAAACTCGGCTGCACATTTATGTGACCCAAATCCAAATCCCAACGAAGTTGAAATGTGTCAAAAACCACGGGCGCATTTATGTGACGTGGTTCGAGACGTATTTTAACAACGTTGCAATTCTCTTTAACAGTAATAATAAAAGCGGTTTAAAGTTAAAAAGCACATAGGTTAAAACATGTTCTAAAATCGAATAAATAAGCCAAAATATGACAGTTGAGTGACCGTGCTAGAACCACGGAACCCGAGAATGCCTAACACCTTCTCCCGGGTTAACAAAATTCCTTACTCGCATTTCTGGTTCGCGCACTGTTAAACAGAGTCATATTTTCCTCGATTCGGGATTCAACCGGTGACTTGGGACACCATAAATCTCCCAAGTGGCGACTCTGAATCTTTTAATAAAACGAATCCCGTTTCGATTGTCCTTCAATTGGAAAAACTCCTTTACACCCTTGCGGGTGTAGGTAAAAAGGAGGTGTGACAACAACTATACAAGAGCGATGGACTCAATCTACCATAATAGAATCACCTACCGATGTAGACACATATACAGGGGCACTCAAGGAATCACTAGGCATGACCAGATACGGTGCAAAATAAGATGACACATAGGAATAGGTAGACCCTGGATCAAATAAAACTGAAGCATCTTTGCCACAAACCAGAACAGTACCTGTGATAACTGCATCGGAAGCCTCAGCCTCAGGCCTGGCTGGAAGAGCATAACATCGGGGCTGGGCCCCACCACCCTGGACTACATCTCTAGGACGACCTGCAGCTGGCTGGCCTCCACTCCTAGCGGCCTGAGCTCCACCTCTAGAACCTCTACCTCCACCTCTAGCACCTCTACCCCCCACCCCTAGCTGGCGGGGCGGGCGGTGGAACACCTGGTGCCTGAACCATAGCACGGGAACCCTGCTGTTGCGACTGAGTACCCACCAACCTCGGACAAGCCCTTCGGATATGACCATACTCGCCACACTCATAGCATCCACTTGAGTGCTACGGTTGAGGAAACTGAGACTACCTTGGTGACCTGAATGACCACCCCGAAAACTCTGGAGCGGCGGTGCACTGATAGGAGCTGGTGGTGCACTGTAGGGCTACTGATCAGAATACTGTATATGAGAACCACGGCCACCTGAAGCACCGTGAGAAACTTGAAGTGCTGATTGGAAGGGCCTAAGAGGATGGCCTCTACCATACGAATCCCTGCCTCCAGACGAGGTACCACTGAATCGTCCTGAATGACGAGGCCTCTTGTCCGAACCATGACCACCTCCCTGCGACAGATTCATCTCCACTCTCCTGGCCACATTGGCCGCCTCCTGGAAAGATATCTCACTCCCCGTCTCCTTAGCCATCTGAAGTCGAATAGGCTGGATAAGTCCCTCAATGAACCTCCTCACCCCCTCTCTCTCTCTGTGGGAAGTATAAGTAGAGCATGACGGGCCAAATCAATAAACCTGGTCTCATACTGGGTAACAGTCATGGAACCCTGCTGGAGACGCTCAAACTGCCTTTGATAAATCTCCCTCAGAGTAACGGGAAGAAACTTCTCCAGGAATAGCTGAGTAAACTGCTCCCAAGTCAAAGCTGGCGATCCGGCTGGTCTAGCCAAACAATAATCTCTCCACCAAGTCTTGGAGGATCCAGATAATCGGAAAGTAGCAAAGTCGATCCCATTGGTCTCCACTATCCCCATGTTCCTGAGAACCTCATGACAGCTGTCTAGATAATCCTGGGGATCCTCAGAAGATGCACCGCTGAAAGTGGCAGTGAAAAGCTTGGTGAACCTGTCCAATCTCCACAAAGCATCGGCAAACATAGCTGCCCCATCACCGGTCTGAGCTACCACACCCGGCTGGACTGCTCCAACTGGCTGAACTGCTGGAGTCTGAAATTGGGGAGCCATCTGCTCCGGAGTGCGAGTAGCAGGAGTCTGGGCTCCTCCTCCAGCCTGAGAGACGACTGGTGCTACAGGAAGCAAGCCTGCCCGGGTGACACTCTCCATAAGGCCCACTAGACGGACCAGAGGATTATTGGGGTAGCAATAAACCCCTCTGGGACCTGAGCTGGGCCCACCGGAACTGCTGGGGCCGAAACCTCATCATCAAAGTCAACCTGAGGCTCCGCCGCTGGTGCTGCTGCTCTGGACTGAGCTCTGCCCCTACCTCAGCCTCTAGCACGGCCTCAACCTCACCCTCTGCCCCATGTGGGAGCTGCTGCTGGGGGCTCGGGTTGCTGATCAGCAGATGAGGAAGCGCGTGTTCTCGGCATCTGCAAAAGAACATAGTAGAAATTCAATTAGCATTGAGAAACCAAACCGCACGACAGGAAAGAATAAATGTGAAACTTTTTCTAACTCTGTAGCCTCTGGGGGATAAATACAGACGTCTCCGTACCGATCCCTCAGACTCTACTAAGCTTGTCCGTGAATTGTGAGACCTATGTAACCTAGAGCTCTGATACCAACTTATCACGACCCGGATTTCCCACCCTCGTGAGTCGTGATGGCGCCTACTCGTAGAAGCTAGGCAATCCGCAAAATATGGAGTCACTAACTATCTCATTTTAGCCCTTTTTAACAATTTGGGTTAACAGGTAAACAACATTGAAATATTAACGATAATGAAAATCAAGCGGAAGACTTAATTTGATAAAATAACTAAAGCAGTACGATAATGCCGACATACGTCTCTACCCGGAATCTGGTGTCACAATATCACGGACTGTCTATGAATGCTACAAGCAAGTATCTGAAAAGAGAGTACAATTTGTCTCGGAACAACTGAAAACAGAATACATAATAAGATAGAAGAGAACGCCGGGCCTGCGGACGCTTGGAGGACTACCTCGGGATCTCTAGCTGGACTGAAGGCTGCCACCCAAAGCTATGGTCCAAAAGCTGTCGCTCCGGGATTTGCATATAGTGTAGAGTGTAGTATCAGCACAACCGACCCCATGTGCTGGTAAGTGCCTAGCCTAACCTCGGCGAAGTAGTGACGAGGCTAGGACCAGACTACCAATTAAACCCGTACAGTTATTTAATATGCAACGGAAAATAAACAGGAACAACAAGTGAAGATGGGAGGGGGTGCATGCTGCGGGGGATATATCTACATCATAGTAAATCAAGAAAAAAAAAGGCATAAGGACAACTTAGAATTTACAACAAAACAATAAGGAACTTATAACCAATCTATAAACACTTTATATCATCAATTGTTGCGGCGCGCAGCCCGATCCCAACACATAACAACATTGTTGCGGCGTGCAACCCGATCCATATCATTTATCACTGTTGCGGCGTGCAACCCGATCCATTTATATCATTGTTGCGGCGTGCAACCCGATCCACATATAATATTGTTGCGGCATGCAACCCGATCCCTTTATATCATTGTTGTGGCGTGCAACCCGATCCACATATAATATTGTTGCGGCATGCAACCAGATCCAAATATAACATTGTTGTGGCGCGCAACCTGATCCACATAAACAATCAACAACAATCATAACAAGAGCCCCGGCAAGGGATCAATAAAGAACTACACTATTCCGGCAAGGGAATCGACAGAATAAGTAAATACGTCCCCGCAAGGGAGAAACAGCTATAACCAATCTTGTTCCCTCATCTAACTACCTCAGCTAACACCAATACTCAACCATAAGTAAATTACAGAACAATCTTAATCCTTGCTCAATACCAAAAATCATCAATTTAAGCATCCGTAGTATTATTTAAGAACACAATAAAGTACAATTTAAGACTCACGGTCATGCTCGACACCAATGTATAAATACTCGTCACCATGCTTATACGTCGTACTCAACAAGAAGCAAGTAGCAAATAGGACACAACTCCTAATCCCTCAAGCTAAGGTTAGACCAAACACTTACCTCAAACTTTCACGGCTAACTCAAGCCTCAAACACCGCTTTTCCTTTAGCATTCGCCTCCGAATTACTGGTATCTAATTCAAATTAATACAACAACATCAATAAATGCTAAATAAATCAACTCAATGCATGAAAATAAGTTTTCCAAAGTTTTACCCAAAAAGTCAAAAATCGACCCCTGGCCCGCTTGTCCAAACCCGAAATCGGACCAAAACCCGATTACCCATTCACCCCCGAGCCCGAATATATAATTGATTTTGGAATCCGACCTCAATTTGAGGTCTAACTCCCCAAATTTCAATATTCTTAGGTTTTTCCCAAAATTCCCAACTTCCCCATGAAAACCCTAGATTCTAGGATGAAATCTTGTAAAAAGAAGTTAAGGAGTAAAGAAAATGAGTTAGAAATAACTTACCAATATTTTGGAGAAGAAAGGTTGTTTGAAAAATCGCCTCTTATGTTTTTGGGATTTTGAAAAATGAAAAATAACTGAAAATCCCGTCTAAATATACCCCTCTCAGACCCCCTGTGCGGACCGCACAAAATCGAGTGTGGCCGCACAGCTCTCCATGTGGACTGCAGTGACATGCTTTAGTATTTTAGCCATAACTTTCTCTGCAGATGTCCAAATTGTGATTTTTATACCTTTCTGGAAACTAGACACGAAGGGCTACAACTTCCGTTTTTGAATCATCTCAAAATTACTTGTAGATCAAAAGATATAGGCTTCTGAAGTCGGACCAGCGAACCTGTGCGGACCGCACAAAATCGAGTGCGGCCTTACAGCCCCACAACGGACAGCACCAAAACCAATGCGGTCAGCACTGGAGGGTTCAGAGATTTGCACTTCTCTGAAACTGCAACATCCATGTTTTAAGCCTAAGACATCCCAAAACTCACCCGAGCCCTCGGGCTCCAAACCAAACATGCACACTACCTCAAAAACACCCTACGAACTTACTCGTGCGATCAAATCGCTAAAATAACATCAACAACTATGAATTTAGCATCGAAATCATGAAATCACTTTAAAACTTTAAATTTTTCCAATTTTCTCAAATACGGTCCGATTCACGTCATTTCAAGTCCGTTTCTTACCAAATTTCACAGACTCGACTTAAGCCACATATAAGACCTGTACCGGGCTCCGGAACCATAATATTGGCCCGATACCATCAAATTTTAAACACATCTCATTTCCAAAACTCATAAATAATTCCAGAAAACAATTTTCTTTAAAAATTCATTTCTCGGGCTTGGGACCTCGGAATTCGATTCCGGGCACACGCCCAAGTCCCATATTTTTCCACGGACCCTCCGGGACCGTCAGATCATGGGTCCGGGTCCGTTTTGCCAAAATGTTGATCGAAGTCAACTTAAATGCATTTTAAGTCAAAATTTCAACATTTTTCATAGACTTTCACATAATAGCTTTCCGGCTACGCGCCCGGACTGCGCACGCAAATTGAGGTGATGCTGAAAGAGGTTTTTAAGGCATCGGAATGCAGAATTCATTTTAAAAACAAGTAATTGGGTCATCACATATACTATCTTAAAATTCTTGAAATTAGTAAAGTTTAAAGATCTGTGGGACTTACGCCCCATGTCATAGGGCTTACGCCTCGCCTCGTCAGAGATAAAATGCCTCGCTTCATGCCCCGCCTTTTAAACCATTGCTTCTAAGCATACAATATTATTCTAAAACTAATATTTTTCACAAAAAGCACTAATTTTCCTCGAATGTTCCACCAAGTATTTCATTTCCCTACCATTATAGAGCTTCAACTACTTGTTAAGACTTTGTTAGTATGCTCTTTTTTTTTTATTATGTGTGATGACTCTAAAGGTCATCTCTTATTTTAGAAGTCAAAACTGTGTTCCGAGGCCTTGAAAACCTCTTTTGTCTCACCTCGATTTGCGTGCATAGTCCGGACGCGTTTCCGGAAAGCTTTTATGTGAAATTTTAGAAAAATAATGAAATTGGCCTTTATAATTGATTAAAGTTGACTTTGGTCAACATTCTTGGTAAATGGACCCGGACCCGTGATCCGACGGTCCCATAGGGTCCGTAGTAATATATGGGACTTGGGCGTATGCCCGGAATCGAATTCCGAGGTTCCTAGCCCGAGAAAAGAATTTTTAAAGAAAATTATTTGCTGGAAAATATAAAGACTTTTGGAAATAAAAGGGTGTGTGTTCTTGATGGTATCGGGCCTGTATTTCGGTTTCGGAGCCCAGTACAGGTTTATTATAATATTTATGTCATATCTGTGAAATTTGGTAAGAATCGGAGTTGATTTGATATAAATCGGACCTTTAGTTGAGAAAATGGAAATTTTAATGTTCTTGAAGAATTTCATGAATTTGAGGTTAAATTCGTAGTTGTTGATGTTATTTTGATGATTCGATCGTACGAGCAAGTCCGTATGATGTTTTTAGACTTGCGTGCATGTTTGGTTTGGAGCCCCGAGGGCTCGGGTGAGTTTTTGATAGGCAATAGAGTGTTTTGGACTTAGGAAAAATGTGTTGGAGGCATCAGTTCTGGTGTTGGCCTCTGATCTCGCAATTGCGAGACCAGGGTTTGCAATTGCGAAGAAAACAGAGGTGGCAATTGCGAGGCCTTTATCGCAAATGCGAAGAAGGCCTGGGTCGGCTTAGTTCGCAAATGCGAAAAAAACTTCGCAATTGCGAAGAGAGTCTGGGCAGGGGGTAATCACATATGCGATCTTTATGCCGCAATTGCGGAGGTCGGTGTTCGCAATTGCGAAGGCAGCAGAGGTGTGATGGTTCTCACATTTGCGACGTTCCTTCGCATTTGCGAGACATTTGCAGCTGATCAAAACTTCATTTGGACGAGATTTTCACTTCACTTCTCAAATTTTCAAACTCTAAACTCCCATAGGCAATTTTCGTGAAGAGATTTCTTTCCCATATCATAGATAAACGATTTCTAACTTATTTTTTTCAATCTATTTCATCTTTTTACATGATTTAATTTCAAAATCTAGGGGTTTTCATGGGAAATTAGGTGTTCTTGGGTAGAAGTTAGGATTTTTAAATTTTGGGGATTTGGACCTCAATTTGAGGTCGGATTTCAAAACTAATTGCATTTTTTAGTTCGTGAGTGAATGTGTGATCGGGTTTTGGTTCGAACTTCGGATTTTGACCAAGCGGGCCCGGGTCGGGTTTTGACTTTTTGGGGAAAACATTGGGAAATTCATATTCATGCATTAGAATTGGTTTAATTAGCATATATTGATGTATTTGAATTAATTATGGCTAGATACGTGTGAATTGGTGGTGGAATCGAGAGGTATAGCGGTGGTTGATTGTTGAATTGTCCGTTGGCTTGAGGTAAGTGTTTGGTCTGACCTTGACTTGAGGGAGTAGGAGTTCCCGACTTATGTGCTAAATGAAATATCATGTGTGTGGCGTATAGGTGTGGTGACGAGTACCTATGCGCCACCAAATTCCATTTTTAGTTTGTTTTCCCTTCCACGTTTTCTATTATACTATTTCTCGTCCTATTTGCCACATGCTTAAACTGCTTCCATGCCTTAACTGCTATTTGATCATAAATGTCCCCATGCCTTAATTACTGCTTGATCATAAATGCTTATGTGTCTTAATTGGTACTTGATCACAAATATTCCATGTCTAATTGCTCATGTTAATTGTTGTTCTCTTCACGAAATTACTTAGTTGTTACATGTTAGTTGTTGATGTTTCCGTTGAGGTATTTTTGGTTTCGTAGCTTCATTTCATTATCCCATTGGTTTATAATGATTGATTGGTGCCTTATGGTGCACGTTGGTTGGTCTCGCTGATTTGGTTTCATGAGTGAAGTTTCATAATCAGGGCGAAATTCCATTGTATAGTTGAAGTATAAGAATTGTGGAAACTGAGTTAACTTGTGAAACACCTTGTGTTTATTCTTTGTGATTGGTGTTGATATATACATATGTTGGGATCGGGTTGCACACCGCAAAAAGGAGTAATAAGGGTGGACAGGTGGGATCGGGTTGCGCGTCGCAACAGGAGGAATAAGGGTGATATGTGTTGAGGAGTAATAAGGGAGGACAGATGGGATCGGGTTGCGCGCCGCAACAAGGAGGAATAAGGGAGGTTATTGATATCGTTACTGTTGGAACATTGATATTGTTATTGTTTATATGGTGGGATCGGGATGCACGCCGCATCAGTTATTGCTTTTGGCTTCTATTTCAGTTAAAGTTGCTATTGAGATGTTTAAATTCCCTAAGGATTGGTTATAGCTGAACACTAGTAGACTGGTTGGACCCTGTGTTCCACTAGAGCAAGTTCTACTTTTCATTCCGTATTTCTTTCCCGTTACTATAGACTGTTGCAGGTTGTATATATATATATTATGTTATGCTCCGCCGTAGCCTCGTCATTACTTCGTCGAGGTTAGGCTCGGCACTTACCAGTACATGCGGTCGGTTGTATTGATGCTACACTCTGCACTTCTTGTGTAGATCACAGTGCTGGACCGTACGGACCGTAGATCGAGGTTGCTGCCATCAGTCCAGTGGAGACCCGAGGTAGTCCTGCAGGCGTCCGCAGGCCTTGGCGTCCCTTTCTGTCTTGCTTTTACTCTGTTTTATCTACTTCTGAGACAAATTTTGTATTTTCTTGTTCAGACCACTATTTGTAGTATTCGTAGTAAGTCCGTGAAATTGTGACGCCAGTTCTGGGTGGAGTGTTATTATGGATTTCGTATTAGTATTAAATTAAACTGTTAAATTTTGCTCTTCCGCATTCTTGTTTTCCGCTGTTTATCTTACATTATTTGGTAAATTGTTAAAGATAAAGGAAAAAGGTAAAATAATCAGTAACGTTGGCTTGCCTAGCGGGTTCAATGTTAGGCGCCATCACGGTCCCGGCGGTGGGAAATTCGGGTCGTGACATTATGTTGGGAGTGTTTCTATTTACCCTACACTATATGTTATTAGTAAAGCGTGAACGCCCTATCTGTTGTAAGGGGCCTTTTGTTGCTCTGTTTTTTTATTACAACTAGAGGGGACCTATGTATAGTGTTGAGGGGTTACCGGACTCCGTAAACTTCGGTAGAAAATATTTTATATGTATATGTGTATACCTTGAAAATGATTATATAAATAACTTGGCACCCTGAACACTAAGGCCCCGTTTGGCCATACATTTGGGCACCATTTTTTCAAATCTTTTTTTGAAACATTGTTTGTTCATAGATTAATGATCTATTTTTGAAAAATTTCTGAAATTATTTTTCAAGTTCCCAAAATCTAGTTTAGGGTAGATTTTGGGTGAAACTTGTTCTCCCACTCACAAAACTTCAAATTTTTTTCAAATAAAATGCATGTCCAAACATAATTTCAACTTCCAAAAATTATTTTTCAAAAATTATTTTTTTCAAGTTTCAACTAAATCTATGTCCAAACGCTAGCTAAAAGTCTTTAGGAGCAGCTGGTCAAGCAAAATAATGGTGCCCCCGTCGCGTTAAAATCCTGAGTCCGCCTCTGATTACAACTATGGGCGCATTTCAAGAAACCTTGGGCTCATGAACACGAACCTGTCAGCGATCTCATAGTTGGGCGCATTTCCCCAACTCTCTTTCTGCTATCCCCAAAAGGACTTTTCTTGCACTAAAGACTAAAATAATCTGCAGAGACCTCTCCTTATGGCTCTCTCGAACCCAACTGCACAATCCGAATGTACTGCTGAAGAAGCTTATACTTGGAGTGAAGTAAGTAATACCCATGAGAAGCAGTGTATTTGTGTAGTCGCACTCTCAAAGCTGATTGAATTCTCATTGTTTTATGATAGGGTCGTGCTATTTTGCAAGTGGAAGTCCACTCCCTCCTATGGAATACAATAACAAACTCTACATTTCCGGCCAGGTTACAGTTCTGAACGCATATGCTTTCTCTCTCATCTAAAAAGTTTTAAGCAGTTAGAGATGACACACTTCTATTATTACTTAATTATGTCACTAACACGCCCTGTGATATGCGGGCTTATCACGTGGAAATTCTCTTTTGGCAATATAGGTGGCAGTGAGACTTAAACTCAAGACCTCTTGTTGCTAGGATACCATATTTTAAAGTGTGTGACCATCTCATCTATAAGTTTAATTTGTGGAGAGGATATAATTTTATTTACTTAACTATGTCATCAAAACTTTTGTTAATTGGTTCGTGACTTCAGTGATAAGATTGCTAATTTATGCTCTTTCTTGCAATATACAGGCAAACAACTGTTCCATATTTCCAGGATTTGGTTTTGGCTTGGTGATGTCTGGTGCAATCCGTGTGCACAATGACACAATTTTAGCAGCTTGTAAGCACAGAGACTACATATCTTAACAATTGACAAGAGGGGTTGTTTAAATGGTCAGCACCCCCATATACAACCCGAGGGTCGTGGATTTGAGTCACCACAGCTCCAACAAAGGGGATCAAAAGGGAGGGGAATTAAAAAAAAGATTTATATATATCTTAACGATCATATTCACAACTTTTTTGAACCCGCAACAAGTGAAAACTTGCAATTTTAAGTGCTAATGAATCTTGATCTTGATATGAAACAGCCGAAGCGTTGGCTGCTCAAGTAACTGAGGAGCACTTTGCCAAAGGGATGATTTACCCTCCTTTTGGTAATATCAGAAAGATCTCAGCTTATATTATTGCTGCTAGTGTAGCTGCTAAAACATATGAACTCGGTGAGTAACTTTCGTCCTTTTCCATTAATCTTAATGTAGTTAACCTTGAATTAGTGTTGGCTTAATGAGTGGAATTTAATATGCTATGCCTCAGGTGTGGCAATACGTATTTCCCAACATGCAGATTCGGTTACGTACGCTGAGAGTTGCATGTATACTCCTAATTGCCGGAAGTTATTTATGATTAAAGCTTTCTCATGCCATAATGTTTGTATAACGGATATTATTATTTATTATAAAAGTCAAGTTTTTATGGAACCAATTTTTTATCATATGTTATAATATATGTTGTCTATAGGGGTGTGCATTCGAATCGGTTTATCGATAAATCGAATCGATTATTTGTTATCGAAATCGAAATCGAAAAAATCGAAACCTTATTGAAACGATAACGATAAGCGTATGTTCAAATCGATAATCGATAAGTAATTATCGATAAGGGTCAAAATCGAATCGATAAATCGAATGCACACCCCTAGTTGTCTACTTCGCTATAATAGCCACAAAAATCCGTAATGAATAAGGTTGTTATAGAAATATTTGACTGTATGCAAAACAGTGCACTCTTCGGATGCTCTTTTGTAAATTTATGTAAAAGAAGCGTTGTCTTTGTGATATAGTTGAATACAAATGAATGTTGGTTAGTTTACCAAGGTTAATAAGTATGATTTAATGGTCATTGGAACTTCAATAATTGAATAATTGTGGGCATCTATAGGTGGAGAATGTCATGGATTCCAATGTTACAAAGAATTCATTTTCCAGGGAGGGGGGAGGGGGGGGGGGGGTAGAGGACTAAAAACTCCATCCTAATAAATTAAGAAGAAAAGTGAACTATCTCTGTCTTAGACTGTAATATGTATAATGCTTTATACCAAAAGAGAATAAATTGCCTAAATGCATCAAAGGTATGATCTAAGGGTCAATGAATTGAGAGGAGAACGCTAGGTTTCAGGGTTAAAATTTTAGCTAACGCCAAAAAAATTTAAGTGATTTTCTTCTAGTTGTTTAAGATATGGTGGCCAGAATTACGTGGTGTAGTATGTACTCGTTGGAATAGTCAAAGTGTGTGTAAGCTGATAATACCAATAGTAATTAAAAAGATGAGAAGAAATTGTCTAAATGCATCAAGGTATAGCCTAGTGGTCAATGAATTGAGAGCAGATGGAATAATAGAAGTATTTTCTAGTTGATTTTTTGTCTAAAATAATTTAGTGATTTTCTTCTAGTTGCTTAATGCATGGTGGCCAGAATTGTCTGATATCTATGCTGATCGAAGGTAATATGTACTCATTAGTAGAAGTATGTGCAAACTGATTCAAACACCAACCGTAATTAAAAAGATGAAAAGAAATCGTCCAAATAATGCTTTGGTAAGTCCCCTTAATTTGGGTGGTCTAAGGACAAAGACTCAGTTTCACCAAGCTTCTCGGAAACTAAAATACTTTCTTTTGTAGAAAAATACTTTTTTGGAAAAATTATATCGGGAATATCAAAGTTATTGCTTTGGAATAACTATATTGTATATTGATTGAAATTTCAATGTATATTTTTACTTTACGTTTGGTACTTTAGTTGAATTCTTTTATAATAAATATTTAATTTTGTTTATTCTTTAAATAATACTAAATGCAAACTGGACATTTACTGTCCTATTTCGTAATTTGTTTAATAAAAGTAATTTTTGAAAAAAATAGTCAAACACAATAAACTTACAAAAAACATTATCCAAATAAATTGGCAAAAAATAAATTGTTATTTTGCGAAAAGTATTTTTTTTGAGTAAGCAATTTTTGAAAGCTTAGCCAAACAGACTCTATGCGTACATATAAGGTGGGACATGAGAACAATTGAAAATAAAAATTTAGAATACTTAGTCTAAACACTCCTTTACATCTTCCATTATGGCTAAGAGAATTCTAACCACTTCGATACATCCAAAGTGAGTAATTATCTCGAAATTGGGCCCCTCTTCCCACAAGCATCCAACGTTCCTTTTGCTCTTCCTTCGGTTTGCCTTCACCAACGCACCACTTAGGAGCCCTACTCATATTTCAAATCTTTCTCGATCGCCTTCTCTCATTCCAATGGTCTTCTACTTTTACTCGACTGCTCTATAAGTTAGCTCAATAATCCTCAAGGTCAATTAGTAACCGACAAGGACGAGGTGGCGGCGGAGACTTTGAAACGGCAAAGAGGGCAAGAATTACAAATAGAGAGCCATTTGGTAAGGCAATTTGCATGGAAAACATGGCCACAAAGGGTTTTTTTGCCATGATCAACACCTCTTTGAAACCCTTCCATGCATACTATACAAAGGCCAACTTCATAATTCATAACCATCGGCAATTCTTGAACTTGAATCTCGTCCTCATCGCACCGCGGCGGCTCAGCCGTCGTGCTGCCTGAAATTCCCACCACCGTTAAAGCCAAATCAAGATCGAAATCTTTATCCATTTTGAATATATACGTATTGATTTAGCCCTGAGAGATAATCTGTAAATATATATAGATGCAATAAACCCACCATCATACTATACTCCTTTGGGTAGGTAGGACAATCACCTAAGTGTCATGAATTTGGTTTTCTAGTTTTATATTACAAATATGTCCGCAAAGAGTGTATAATATTACGTAAAGAGAATAGACAGTGTCAGTTGACAAAGAAATTTGGTTAGAAAATAAAATAAAAATATGATTAGGTTAAGTTCATCTACGCACGCAAGGAAAGAAAAAGTCGTTGTGTTCATATCTATAGAGTCATGGCATTGTAAATATATTCCTCCCTCGGTTTCATTTTATATTAGGCAATTGGCTAAAACACGAATTTTAAGAAAGAAAGAAAGAAACAAACTTTTTGGATAACCTAAAATTATTATTAGATCAGATGTTAAACATGTCATGATTGTTAGAGCATGCCACTAAGGGGTTGTTTGTTATATGGATAATTTATGTCGGGATTATAATTGATGTGTTGTTCCCTCTGTTTCATTTTATATTACATATTTGAATTGAGCTTGAAATTTATGAAAGATGTACTTTGGTACATATCAAAATTAACCTTAATTAGAATTTGTGATCTTAAATATGACATGATATATGGTTATAAAAAGTATGATGATTATAATATATGAATTAAATAAAAAGGAGATTATTCCGTGAATGATATACTTCTATTGATATATATTTGGTTCATTAGATTAAAAATTGGAATTTACGAGGCATGATATAATACTTGCACTAGATAAACTTGAATAAACTTTATTTTCAGTGTTAAACTTGATTTTCTTAAGGGACTTTAAGATAAGGGCTCTGGAGAAGGATATCTTTTTTATTTTGTTGCCACATTCCGAAATTAATGATTTCGGGAATGTTATCTAACATGGCATGTGGTATAAATACCCGAACAAAAAATTCGATGTGAGATTGTTATTAAATATTATTTTATAGTGGATGTCTATAACTCCTAAAGAAGTTACTCCCACTACTCTTCTCCACTAAGTAGATAACTCCCACTACTTCTCACCATTATAGTTGTAACTCCCACACCTCCATAACCTCCCCATGATCTTTCCCCATGATCTCAATAGTTAATACCATGTTTATGATATCCCTTCGTATACCTCAATGCCATCCTATAAATAGAGTAATAGACTAATCGGTTCCAAAGATAAAACTCCTTGAAGAAGGAGAGGGGCAAATGTTCAAGATGGTCATAATAAGGAGGCAAGTTCTTTATAAGAGCACCATGACATAACACTTTATAAGACCTCATGGAAGAGGCTCAGGTACCTGAAAATAATGAGATCTCGATAAGTTATGTCTTTATTGATTGATGATGGAACCGAAGTAAAATGATCATTGACGATATTATTGATATAATGTAGCGCTCAATATTATTAATATTGACAAGGATCTTGAGCTCAAATCTGTCATGGAATTTGGACAGACAAATGATTGGCCAAATGAAAAATATGCAATGAAAATTGACTTCACCTGAAAAATGTGAAGTTGGACGGATAGTCCCCACACCTAAAAGTGAAATGAAAAATCAAGTCAATAGACATAAAGACGACTTGTGGCACAAAATTTTTGTAAATATCCTGGTATTAGGAGACATGTTCTCCTGTGGGGAATGGAGTCATTTCAGATTTTGGTATGACAATACATTTGATATGCATATAATGAAAATCCTTGAATGATTTAAATTGTTCTGAAGCATATTAAGGTTCCCAAGAAATTTATTAAATAAATCTTTGGTAAATCCTTATGTAGATTAGAGCGATCATGGCGTACATGATTTATTTTTGTGTCTAGTGCAATTGGTACACTAATATATCTGGCTAGAACCATGAGTATAACAATATGCTAGCAAGATATAGTTTTATTCCAATGTGGACATATTGGAATATAATTAGTATTATATTTCAAAAGGAATACTTGATGTAGATTTGTTTATTCTAACAAATATTGCCAAGATTTTGTTGGTTATGCAAATGCAGGCATTTTCCTGAAGTTCGTTCTTCAAACATTATATTTGCATGTGAGTACTGCCATATTATCATTTACAAGGCAGTTAATTGTTGATACTTATTCAAGTCATGCCAAGATAAGCAACTGATAAAGCAAGGGACTCAACACACAACAGACGTGTGACTTGACTTTGAAGAGAAGATTCTAATAATACTGAAGATAATATTGTTTGCTTATATCAATTGAAAGAAGGACTATCAAAGGAGACAAAATAAAGCACATTCACCAAAGTTCTTCAACAAATTTGTTCAAGTGATAATTTGACAAACTTCTTCACAAGACATTGCGGATCTCAATATTAGAGAAGTTGTTATACAAGCTTGGAATTCGTCGTCTCCGAAGAATAAAGTGATGTTTTCATCAGGGGGAGGCAAATTTGCGTTGTACTCTTTTTCCCTTAGCTAAGATTTTATCCTACTGGGTTTTTTCTGGCATGGTTTTTAATGAGGCAGCAAATAATGCGTTGTCACGACCCAATTCCCAAACCCGGTCGTGATGGCGCCTCTCGTGAAGACAAGGCCAGCCAGAACTACGCAAACACCTCTTTTAAAGCAATTAATTAACATTAATAATTCTAACACATGCTTAATATATTCAATAATGCGGAACAACAATAATAACAAGGGAAACCATCCCGACACAGCCCAAACCGGGGTGTCACAAGTCATGAGCTACTACAGAGTTTGCTATAAGTCTACAAAGAGTAATATCCGATACAATAGTCTGAAGAAAACATAAATGATGTAAGATAGGAGAGACAAGGGGCTGCGGACGTCAACAGCTACCTCGTGACTCCAAATCGCTGCCTGGTCTGGAAGGGATCAGCGTCAGGAGCGGACTCTGCTATGCCTGAATCTGCACACACGGTGCAAGGAGTAATGTGAGTACTCCGACTCAGTGAGTAATAATAATAAATAATAACCGAAGGCATGAAAACACATAAGTGCACAAGGAAATTCTATATCAGGCAGTAAATCACTTAAGGCAGCAAAATAGTAAAGAGTCAAATGAAATTTCCTTTTTTTTAAAAACAGGTAAATCAGGTAAAACAACAATAAATAGTGAGTAAAAATCTGCCCCTCGGGCCCAGTATCAATCGCTCAGAATAATATCAGCCCCTCGGGCTCAATATCAGTCACTCAGCATAATATCAGCCCCTCGAGCTCAGTATCAGTCACTCATCATAATATCAGCCCCTCGGGCTCACTCTCAGATCATATGGGTACCCGCGCTCACTGTGGGTGTGCAGACTCCGGAGGGGCCCCCTTACGGCCCAAGCGCTATATCAACATAAGGCCTAAAAGCCTTCTCACATCACTCATAAGGCCTGAAAGCCTTCTCACATCACTCATAAGGCCTGAAAGCCTCCTCACATCATTCAACATATCCTCACATATGGCCCTCGACGTCACTCAGTCCAGAAAATATCATAAGCCCCTCGGGCATCAATAAAATAGTACTGCTCAGCCCAAACAACAGTGGAAATATCATTTAAGTCTCAAAGTTCAATTAAAGCGGCTGAGTTTGAAAAATAGTATATTCAACAGGACTGAGTTCAAGTAGTATATCAAAATAGTGAGGAAACAGTGATAAAAGTCCATGAAGGATTCAAGTAGTCGGCATGAAGCCCAAAATATGGCAACAGGCCCAAGTCATGTTAATAATAAACACCTCTCAGTCAAATACGCGGTAAAAACATAAGTTGGGACGGACCAAGTCACAATTCCCAATAGTAAACAACCCCGCGCTAGTCATTAAGCGCGTGTTTCACCTAAATATAGCACTACGTTGTGCAAATCCGGGATTTCAAACCCTCAGGATATCATTTGCTATCATTACTCACCTCAAGCCGGCCAAAATCCTAGCTCGCTATGCCCTTGCCTCTCAAATCGGCCTCCTCGCACGTCGAATCTGATCAAAACCATAACAAATACATCACAATAGGCTAAGGGAACATAACCCAATCGAAAAGAATCGAAAAACATCGAAAATCACGAAGTTTGCAAAACCCGAGCCCCGGGCCCACTTCACGAATTCCAGCAAATTTTACATCAACGGATTCCTTATCTCGCCGCGAGTCTATACATATCAAGAACTCCCAAATCAGAGCTCAAATGACCCATCAAAATCCAATTTGAAATACCAAAACTCAAGCCCTAGTTCTTCCCCCTTTTTGATAAATTTTCATGAATTTCTAGGTTGATTCTACCATTAAATCATGTATTTAGGTCATAGAACTCACCTCCAATCAATCCCAGTCGAAATCCCCTTCAATTCTCGTCCAAAAGCTCTCAAGGATGTTCAAAAATGGTGGAAAATACCTTAGCTCGCGGAACATAATGAAACTTTAAAACCCTTTTTCTGTCCAGACGTTTTCGCTTCTGCGATCAATAATCCGCTTCTGCGGTTTCCGCTCCTGCGGAGTTCCACAATTAGCCAGGACCACTTCTGCGGTCAAGGTCCGCATCTGCGGACTCCGCTTCTGCAAAAAATCATCCGCTTCTGCGGAAATCCCCCAATAGCCAAAATCCGCACCTGCGATGCCCCTCACCGCATCTGCGAGACCGCATCTGCGGTCCTATTTCCGCAGATGCGGAAATACCAGAACCAGCAAAACTCAACAATAACACAAGTCCATAATTCATCCCGATGGCCATCCGAAATCACCCCTAGGCCCCCGGGACCTCAACCAAAAGTGCCAATCCATCCTAAAACATCATTCGAACTTGCTCCAATCATCAAAACACCACAAACAACACCAAAACCATCAAATTACATCGGATTCAAGCCTAAGTTCTTCTAAAACTTCCGAAACACGCATTTGATCAAAAACCCAACCGAAACACATCTGAATGACCTGAAATTTTGCACACACATCCCAAATCACCTAACGAAGCTACAGCAACTCTCAGAATTCCATTCCG